GCGGGCTGTGCGTCTTGTCCTGGAAGTCGTCGAGCGGGCCGACGGAGCCCTCGCTGTCGCTCTCGTCGCTCATGTCGACGCCTGCGATGGGGGCGGGCTTGGACTTTTCGTCGGCGGGGTCGATCTGGCCGGCTGCGAGCTTGGCCTGGCGCTCCTTTTCCTTTGCGAGCAGGAGCTCGCGCTGACGCGCCTCCTCCTCTTCGAACTGGCGCTGCGCCTGTGCGCGCATGCGCTGTTCCTCCTGCTTTTCGCGGTGTGCGTCGTTGGCGAGGTTCTTCTGTGCGTTGGCGGCAAGGGCGGCACGTGCGGCGACGGATCGGCTGGCAAAGTCGTCGGACTCGGCGAGGATGTCGGACTCTGGGTCGGTGCGTTCGCTGGTGAAGGAGGCGCGCGACGAGTCGGCGGCGGGGTTGTTGCCGATGGCGGTGGTGGTGGAAGCGGTGTTGTGGTTGATGCTGGCGGGTTTGCGGTCGCCCTGGAGTTCTGTGAGGGCATTGTCGATGTCGGCCATGGTGGAGTGCATGACGCCGGGCTGGGACGAGGCGATGGCGGCGTTGGGGGTGCCGAGCGCATCCGGGGTTGCGTTGCCGGACTTTGTTGCGGTGAGGGCGAGGGTGCGATCGAGGGTGGTGTAGGTGAAGGGAAAGAGGCCGGTGTGGCCGTGTTCGTTGGTGCCTTGCCACCATCCGTCGCCGTACTCGTCGTCCTTTTCGACGACGAGGATGCACTCGCCCGCCTTGAACGACACCTCGTCCGGGTTCTCGGCCTCGAAATCGTGGAGCGCCCAGACGCGATCGACCGACTTGGGTGAGGCCATGGCTGCGGTGCGATGCGGTGCGGAGGCCTAACGTGGACCGGGGTGGATGATCGTGGGGAAACGGATGCCCGCGGTGGGGATGTGTGTGTGTGGGGGGGGGGGGGGGAGGAAGCGGAACTTCGGGCCCGACTGGGCGAATGGGCGAATGGGCGAATGCAACGGGAAGAGGACAACCGTCTTGGGCCGGGGCTGAGCCTTGGATAGAGCGGCGGCGGCCAATTAGTCGCGCCCATCCGCGCACGGGAAGCACACGCAATCCAACGCACCGCAATCCAACGCAACGCACCGCAACGCACCGCAACGCATGCAGCGCTGAGCTCAGGCCACTTTCGCTTTTCCATATTCCATTTTCGACTTTCGACTTTTGACCCCCCAAAAAGGAAGGAGAGGCAGCGCCCGAGCTTTGGCCACTTTGCCACTGTGCCACTTAGATTCCGGTTCAACGCATCTTGGCAGCGGCATAGCAGCGATCTCACAAATTCCAATCCAATTTTCGAGCATGGCATTGATTGCTACCGAGAGAGATGCTGTTTAGGGCGGTTTAGGCCGCCGCTGCCTTGGCGCGGTTGCTACGCAAGCTCCGCAGCAGGGCGAGGTTGGACTTGGCGCCGGCAGGCTTCTTGGCGGGTGCCATGCCGTGGCGCGGAGTCCAGGGTCCGAGCGAGGTGTCGCTGTAGAAATCCATGGGGTAGTCGCCGTCGAGCGGCAGATGCTTGTCTTCGGCCGGCACCTCTTGCTTGTCGCCATGCCTCTTGGCCGGAGTCCGGCTCATGCCGAGTCCCTCGACGTCCTCTTGCCACCCTTGGATCTTCTTGACGCTCACCGCCGCCTCGTACGGGCTCAGCAGTGGCTTGGCAAACGCCGATCCCCAGTCGATCGACAGCCGAGGACAGCTCGACTGGATGAACGCAGCCAGATGCTCGCCAAACAGTCCCAGCTTCTGCGGCGACAGCTCCGACAGCAGAATCGGCACATCGGGGATCGGTGGCGAGTGCTCCGCCAGCGACGTGCGCAGCGATTCCAGCACGCGCGTGCTGCCCTGTCGGCCCAACGTACCCAGCACCACTCCCCATCCGGACGCCACCACGCGACCAGCTTCCGCGCCCGCCTCCCCGTCTTTCTGCTGTGCTGCCACGGTCGTTTCGGGATCCAGATCGAGTGCGCCCACGCTCTGCTGCGCCAGCCGCACCGCCTCGCCGCGCATCTGGCGCATCTCGGCATGGTCGTACAGCTCGCGCACAAACCGCTTCGTGTACGGATCGTAGCGGAACGCCGGGATGCGAGGATTCGCAATCATGATCGACTCCAAGTGGAAGCGTCCATCGCCAATGTACACGATCGCATCGATGCGCTCCTTGTCCAGCTTGGGCGACGTGCATCCCAGCACCTCGCCAGGACTCAGTGGCTTGACCTGCGGCACCGTCACCCTGTACTCGCCCGAATACCATGCCTTCCACTTGGCACCCTGCTCGATGTGGTCCACCGCGCCGTCCGCAACGCTGCCGCCCGCAAGCATGAGTCGATCCACACGCGGCTGGCCCGTCACCACCTCGCCGTCGGCCATTCGATGTTGCTGCTCTTCCAGTGCTTCGCGCAGTCCGTGGATGGCATTGATGAACTGCACCGTACCCACCAGCGCCAGATGCGTCGGCACCTCCTCCGCCACGCCAGCCCCGCTCTTTACTCCACTCGACCCAGCATCGTCGCTGCCAATCGCGATGCGCGCTCGACCCGCCGACTCGTCCACCTGCCCGCTCTTGCCCGCCGCATTCTGACTGCCGCCGAGGATCTTGGCTCGAAATTCGTGCTTGTCGCTCGGGAAATTGGCGCGGATCGTCGCAGCCAGGTGCGCCGGATCAATCGAGATCTCCACAAACACGTACAGCGTCTTGATCGCCGTCTGATCCACAGGCACCAAGCAGCTGTGGCCGTAGTGCACCAGCATATCGCACCCGAGCGCCATGGCCGTATAGTCGTCCACGCAGCACGCGCCGTACGTTACATCGCCCATGATCACCGTGGTCGCGTCCGTGAAGCGCTCCACAATGTCCGAGATCCCAGTCGCCCACAACGTGAGTCCCTCGGGCATCTGCAGCGCCACGCATGTCGCCGCCGCCTTGCGAATGTGATGGATCGTCTTGTGAATCTCAAAGTTGTAGTTCGCAGGCAGGATCGACGCGATCGCCTGGTTCAGCGACGCATCCTCCAGGATCTCGGCGGGCACAGCATTGGCCATGCGCGGTCGAGAAGGTCCTGCTTCGCTTTCCTTCCCGGCGGTGAACCGCTTTCGTGGATTCTCCGCGTTTGTCTGCATGTCGATTGCCTCGTCGTTGAGATGGGGTCAGGAAGCCAAGATGCACTGGCGAAAAGGGCCAGGGTCCAAAGCCTCAAATCTTCTTGGCCGCCAAATTTGCTGAGCTGCGGGCTGACACATGCTGACGCATTTTTGTTTTGCAAGTCTAACAACCAGTCTCAATCAGAAATCTCGTATGCACGCCGATGCACTGTCCCCGATTCGGCTAGCCGAACGTAGCTGCTCGCAGCTCACGATTATCGCCGCAAGTGCACATGACGTAACGAGGCTCGCCTCGTCAAACTTCGCTTCCCGATCTGACCGCCTTGCCGAACGCCACAGCCTTGCCATTCGGTTGGTTTGGCAACGTCCGGCTTGGCAACCCTGCCCTCTTGCAAGCCGACGCATTGGTGCTTAGAGCGAGCTAGTCTCAGCGTGTGTTTCTAGTGCCCTTTTCGGTCGCTAGGCTTGCATGCTTGCATGCTGCCGAGTCTCGCGAGTTGTTGCGGCGAGTCTTTGCGAGGTGTGCATGGGATCGGCAGACGCTCATTGTGCTCTCGATTCACTCCACACATGGCTGCCAACGAAAAGCATAGGCTGCAGAGGCATGGCCGGGTTACCTTTCGGAAAATTGAATGAAGCCGTACTTGTCAAGCAAGAGGCGAGGTGTAGTGACTCGGTGGCTGACGGCGGGGTGCGAATGCGCATCTCACACGAGCCTTGACACCGCCGCCACCTCGTTCCTGGAGGCACATGAAAGCGTGTTTTTCAAGAACCGATCGGTCAGCTTGGCTTCGCCATACGAACCTAAATGCCACTTGAAGGTCATGCTTGACTGGGAAAAGCTGTCGAGCGCACTCTAATCTTGCCAGACAAAGGAGCGGAGAAATGAGGGCTGATGATCCCATTCAGGCACGCGGGTCGGGAGGCTTATGGCAGCTCATGCGAGAGCGCGCAGAACGAGCTCGGCCACAGGTCCGTGTTTCGCATGGCCGCGCGTGGGCCGCTTCCGTCGGCAAGGCGACGCTCGCAGCTCAGACCCAATCGATAGAGGCTTTCCAGATCGTGCCTGCCCATCGCCTTTTGCAAGGCTATGGGAAAAATGCAAATTCGCCTCTTCCCCTCCCCGCACTTTAGCCTCTTTCGCTCCGCATCACCTCACCCAGAAGACAAGCGGACAGGCCGGGCATCATAGGCTCGTCATACCATGTCGCTTTTACAAGCGCCACTCTTGTATCAGCGCTCGGATGGCGTCCAGCTTACTGTACCAATTCTCAGCGATACCAATGAGAAGTGGCTCTGCACAAATCTGGAACGGCCTTGCTGCACCCAGGCAGCGTCGATGGCCGGAGACGGCGATCCACGGCCGCGTGTGTGAGCTGCTGACTGGTCGTGTTGGCGCAAAGATGCCAGGAATAGAAGCGAACATTGGGGCTCGGCCGAGCCAACTGACTCCCTGCGATACGATGGGCTGGACCTCGGCGACTCGCAGAGGGCCACTTGACAGCTTGCCTGCCGTTCCTGCCGCTCCTGCCGTTCCTGCCGTGGCTCGCCGAAAACGCGCCCTACACTCGACGTCCTCATTGTATTACATTACCCTGTGTAGAAGCCACTCGTGCCCAAAAGCTGGTGGCATTCAAACGGCTTCGAGTGTGAAAGCCGATGCCATTCGTCGGCTATGCAAGCTGTGGCCGGTCCGCCATGCAACGCCGACGAGTCGAACATGACAACGTGGCTCGCAAACACCAAAGCTGCACATTCGGCGAGGGGCGCGCGCGGCAACGGAAACTTTTTCTTTTCGCCTTGCATGCAACCAGGACCTTTTTTTTTGGCGAGACACGACCATTCGCCCCGAAACGTTCCGACCCTGCACACCTTCTGTACGAACGATCAGCGCAGCGGGTCGAATATCGGAGAGTGAGTGGCAAAAGCCCTTCAAAGGAGAAGGAGAGGTTGAGCATCTGCATGTGAGTGGGTGTCGGGGCGGCGGTGAGACGGCATCGCGTGGGTCTGCCGGTGTCTCGCGTAGCCAAAAAATTGAGTTGGCGTTTCGTAGCATCAAACCAACGCAACACGAGCGAGCAAGCCTCAGCTTGGGCTCCAGCGCCGGTATCCAAGGAATCCGAGGCTCACACCGCCTCGTCTCAGCTTCCGGAGAAAGATGAAGGCTGAGCTGCCGTTCCGATACGATTTCCTCCGAAAGGCTTTCGAAAACACATGTTCGAGGCTGCATCCAGAGGCCGACGGCCGGCAGCGCGAAAGGCCGTAAATAAGAACGGCGCGCCAAACAACCAAGTCGAGCGGCGGCGAGAATGGCCAAGGTGGCGAACAACGACCCTTGGGTCATGTGCGCATGTGCGCACCGCGCCGAGAAGGGATCGGCAGCGCTGTTGTGATTTCCAATCGCTTTGCTCTGCTCGTCGAAAGGACGTTGCAATGCACTCGCGCTTGCCAGCAGCCGCGGTTTGGTCGAAACGAATTTCAAAATGTCGTCTGTTGTTTGGCGACAAAGTTGGTGGCGACTTTCTTTTTGGCTGGGCGACTGCGTTTCCGGCTGCAGGGTGCACTGCATTCGCCCGACTCGCAAGAGTGATGGCTGACGATGCGGGGAGGATCGGATGGGCTGCATGCGTTTGCAGATGCTGTACGCAGGCACACCAATGGACGCGGCGCGCGCTTGCCAATCCAGCAGGGCTGATTAGTTCCGGTTAAACCCAATCCCACCCCCGCTTCGCTTCCGCCCCCGCCTCTGTGCTCGTGCTGCAGCGCTCTACTGCCTCGGAGGTTTCCAATGTCAGACCAGCCTCTTGCCCTTGAGACGCCTGCAGATAGATGCACGCTACTGCAGCGCCCCCTTTTTGAGACCCAGCTCAGGCACCGTCGTACACTGTCGACACAGAGGAATGTGAATACAATGCGGCAGTAGCACACCCAATGCTGCACCTCAGCGCAAGGGGCTTGCAGAGCCAAAACAGGCGCCTTGTTCACCTCTCCCCACCCTTCCAGTTGCAGATGGCTACAAGAGGGTGACACAGAAACGCAATTGGATCGATGTAGCGCGTGTGGCATGCACGAGTCAGACGCTTGTCTTGCCCGTTGTTCGCAGCCACCGCCACTGTCGAGTGCGGATATGCCGGATGAGGGCGCACTTCTTGCACTACGGCGCACGTCCAGCTCAGACATCCTAGGGAAGGTGACTTGCAGCGCAGGGAGCAGCGGCAGCGAAAGAGAAAAAAAATCTGATCTAGCCGAGGCGAAATGATGGATGGACGGATCCGACGCTGGTGAGCACGCAATCTGATTGGTCGAGACTCGATCTACGATGCTGAGCTGGACTGGTTTGTACGACGGTACACTGGGCGGGCGACGTGCTTTGCCCACAAATAGACAACGCGCGGCCAGGCCTGGGCAGGGAAGACAGGGGATATACACAAACCACGGCGCCGCAGGGCGGTACCTGTTCCCATGCATCATGCATAATGCAACATGCACCATGCACGAGCGAGTCTGTGACCGAAACTGTGGCCAACCAAACCCCCACGCAATTGTGCTTTGCAGCTCTCTTTTTCTTTGCGGGGGCAGCCATCCAGATTTCGTGCCTACTTCAGCCCGGCTTTTTCACCGCGCTGCCCGAGAGAGCGAGAGAGACGGCTCGGCTAAGCCAAAAACCTCATTTGGTACGCCCAGCCTACATCTGTTTGGCGAGCGCCCATCCATTGCGAAACGGTCCTTGGCTTTGCTTCGCTGCACAACCATTCTCCTGTCGATCCGGCTGCACGCAGGCCACACAGGGCATTGCACGGTAGCACAAAGCCGAACGAGGCCGCACGTTGTCAACCGCTGCTTCCCCAGCTTTGGGGAGCAGGAAAAACCAATCCAAAGAATCAAATCAGAATCCAAGACAAATACAAAAATAAGACGAAATTCCAATTTGAGCGCGATGATTGCTTTTCTAGCGTCGGCTCTCCAAAGCTCAGGCGAGGCTGCCTCGAGGCTGAGGACGACTGGCGACTGCTGGATAGCGCGCGCGCCTCCCCTCATTGTTCTGCTCGCTCGCTCGCTCGCCGCCACCACTACCGCCGTGTCTCTGCTGCGTTTCCCATGCCGAGTCGGGCGGCTCGCCAGCCCCGCAAGCAAGCGTGGCGAGGCGCGGAGGTCGAATCCTTGGCACTCTGGCCGTCACTGCCTTACATCCACCCACTGTAGCTTCCCACATGCGTTCCTCGCCTCGCCTAGTCGATTGTTCAAATCCAGCTCCGGCGTCGTGGCTCATGCTTCTTGCTTCCAACCGCCCTCCCCGCCCTCCCTCCCTTCTGGCTCTCGCTCCGGCTAGACGCTCCCGAAGAGCGGCTGCGCACGAGTCGCCGCCTGCCCTGTAACTAGGGCTCCATTGCCTCGCCGGCTCTGCTGTTCCGCCGCCGATTCTGCTTCCCGTGTTCGAACTAGGTGCGATTCCAGGCCCCGTCCATCTCTACTGTGCCCTCTGTGTGCCCTCGAGCCCACGAGCTGGCGAATTTGAGCTTCCTCACTCGGCCAGCTCGGCGGCCCTTCCTTACAACCCAACTCTGTGCCTGCCGAGGTACAGTAGCTGCGTGTATCGCGCGCCGCCCAGACACACTCTTCCGGTGCCCGTGTCGTCCCCTACAGCTAGACCTCGAGCTACTGTGATTGAAGCGCTCTCAAAGTGGTGTTTCAGCAAGCGTCGTGTCACTCTCCTTACCTGCACCCCGCATTCTAGCGCCAAAAAAAGCTTTCCACCGTTTCGTCTGCCCTCGCTCTCGCCCTCTCCCCCAGTCTCCTCGCTTCGAGCCGGTTGAGCACCAAATGGCTCGGCTCGTTGCCCGCGCCCCGTCAACGATCAGCAATCGTACATTTGCATCGCATCGCATCGCATCGCGTTGCCGCCTTGCTGCCCTTGCTTCACCGGGTTTCGATGGGATGATTCACTGCGCTCCCACTGCGCTCGACTGCTCAAGTCGAATGTTTGCAGTCGCCTTGCCTGTCCGTCGGTTGGTGAACTCCCTCGCAGCATTCTGTACGGCCTCCACGCGACTCGTTCGCTGCAGTCTCTCCACTTTTCGCCCAAGTCTGCCTCGTCGTACTTACGCCCTTGGCCTTGGCTCGCCTCGCTTCGGCGACCGCACCCGGACTTTGGGCCTTGCCTCTCTGCCCTCCCATCCGCCGTATCCTCCCCCTCCTCCCCCTCCCCTCCTTTGTGTGGTCTGCAGATCGACGGCCCACACTCTCCTCACGCCTCAGCTTCCCAGGCTTCGCTGCTCTTCCCTTGTCGGCGTCTCCCTTGGCCAGCTCGAGCTGTCTCAGACGGCACCCTTGCCTGGGTCCGCCCAAGGTGTCACCCGCCAGCCCACTCGCCACTCGCCTCTCTCTCCGGCCTTTCGCTGCCGAACCTTAGCGCCGCCATCTCCTGCTCTGCTGCCGTGGCCCTCGACGCTTCGCTCGTCCCCTCCTGCCACTGACACCGCTCCCAGCCCCAGAGTCGTCTGGCCTCTGCCTCGAACCTCAAGGATACCGGGTGTGACTGTCCTCACTGGCCGCGGCGGCATCCAAAATAGTTTCTCGCGCTCAATTCTTTATAACCCTCCCCGCACTTTGCGCTCTTCGCACACCGGGTCCACGCACTTCTCTGGACACCGTCTCCTCCTCTTCATCATCTTCTTGCCTCCGTCCGCCTCTTCCACCACCTTTAAGGAAGAGCAGTAGCTTCTTCCTCTACACCACAAAAGCACAACAAAACAGCGCATAAAAAACGGATTCCCGTCCTGACTGCCAGCAGCGAGCCTTTCGATCCACGCCACGGGCCCCCATCGAAGCTCAACCGTGCCAAGCTCTCGCTCTTTTTCTATACCCTTGCGTGTCGCCTGGTGCGCTTTGACCTCGTCCAACGCATCGATACCCACACAGCTAGTCTACGCCAGCCTACGCCATCGTATTTTCCTTCCTTACCACCACGCGGTCATCTCACCTCGACCAACATCCTCCCACCCCTTACACCAGTCGAACGAGTTTGGCACAGTCACAAAATCACACCATGAGCTATATCAGCAGCGGAAGTAGCTCTTCGGGAGCCACCTTCTCCACAGGTCCATCCAGCTCAACATCGCGCAGCCCATCTGCGGAGCCCTCGTCGTCCAAGCAGCGCCGACTGACCCTCCAAGACATTCACATCCCCGCAGGCTTCGAGATCGCCAAGGGTCTCGAGGAGCCCGGCTCCGAGTACCCCAGCGAGGAGAACATCCAACGCGCGGCCGAGGTGCTTCAGTCTCTTCGTGGCCGTATGCCCGATGGTTCCGATGGTCAGGTGGCGGCGTGCGACTACTGCCGACGCCGCAAGATCCGGTGCGACCGCATCAAGCCCACTTGCGGCAGCTGCACTGCCTCGGGCCGCAAGTGCACCACCGAAGACATGCTGCGCAAGCGTGGTCCACCGTCCAAGAAGGAGCGCGCCATCTTGGAAGCAGCTGGCATCATCTTCCGCGGTACACGTCCTCACCGACGCCGCAGAACGGCCACTACCTCGTTGGGCTCGGGTGCCGCCAGCAAGCAGCAGGAAGAGATGCTGCGCAAGGTCAAGGAGGTGGCTGGCACACGCACGCGCGCCAACTCGACCAACTCGGGCGAGAACGCCGCTGCCGCCGCCATCGTTGCCGATGCCTTTGACCAGCTCAACGGCGGATCCAAGAGCTCGTGGATGGAGATGCTCAGCATCGCCACCCAGTCGGCCAACCCTTTTGCAGACTCGCCCGCCTCTTCGCCCTCGGACATCTCGGCACACGACACGTTCCACATCGACGCGGGCGCGTGCGACTACGGTCTTGCTACATCCACCGGCTTGGGTGCTGCGCCGCTTCTGGCACGCAACATGGACAGCTTGCCGGGCGCGCCCAACAACAGCGCACAGTGGGACAACATGTGGGCCGCCTTTGGCGCCGACCTGAGGAACAAGCACAGCGCCACCAACCAGGCTATCAGCGAGTTGCCGAACCTGAGCGCCTTTGCATGCAACGCCACCGTCGACAGCAAGGACGGCCTCTTCCGATCGCCGCTTGCCTCGTTCGATGCGGGTGCGCTCGACTGGTCCGCGTCCAACATTTCGCCTTCGCAGTACCAGATGCTGTTCCCTAACGGTGCGGTTCCGCCCATGCAACATGCAAGTCTACCCATGGTACACGTTGACCCCCAAATCATGGCGCCCCAAATGCACCAGGTTGCGGAACAGCCATTCATGAGCTCGCAGTCCAGCATGGCGGCAGAGGCCATTGCATTTCAGTCCGCCATGGGCCACTTCTTCCCCAAGTCCAATCCGCTCTCCTCGTCGCTCTCCCAGTCGTCGTCTACGGCAACCGCAGAGGCAAACACCCCAACCGAGATCGAACAGTTTATCTCCATGGCCGAACCCAACCACATGCACCAACACCAGGAGCAACTGCAGCCCCACCAGCTCCAGTTTTCCATCGACACCCTCTCCGCTTTCTAATGCAGTGTCCTAATCCTTTCGTCGCACAGCCGATGCCTTGTATTCTTTGCCACAGTTGTACAGTTAGTCCTCCCGTTCGCGCTTAATGTCCATCGTGGCTGGTAGTCGTCATTGCGTGTGATCTCGTCGTGATTGGCTCGCACACCGGACGAGGGTCTACGGCAGGTCCAACATGGTGCTGATCGGATTGCGGTGCAATGATAGAGCCCGTCGCTTCACCTCGGTATGACGGTTTGGCGCAAGACACTGCAGACCAGTTTTGTAGACGTGCGTAGACAAAGTAGACGATGAAAGAGCGATGACAGTATGCGGACGCAAGCGCTATTGCGCGGCCTGGTTCCGAACCACCAGACCGCGGCCGCTCACCGGAAAGTCTCACCCTCAACGTGTCGAGCCTGGGTTTGGTGCGGACAGCCGGCATCGTAGCACTCAGAAGCAGTCTCGCTACGAGGGTTTCTGGCATCTCTGGCTTCCGTTGGCGAGCACGTCTCGATGCGCCGCTGTGTCCAGAAAGAAACACGCTTCCAAAGCTCGTACCTTTGTCCAGAACGTATAGACAGCCCATCCCGCCATTCATCACGATGATACCAACAGCACATTTTATCTGCGGCCATAGAACCTTGAAAGCAC